AGCGGAGTTATGCTTCAAATATTCGTAGCCATCGGCCAGAGTTGGACCGTCCGAAGCTATGCTGATATCATCCAGATAAGCGCAAACGAAGGTGGACGAAGCTTTCTCTAAGAGTGGATGAAGAGTTAGTGCGAACAACAAAGGACCAAGGGGATCACCCTGCTGTACCCCCTCGGACGATTCTACAACCCAAGAGTGGTAGCCAAGGGAAGAGACTCCGCCATAAGCAGAATGGCAAAAATTATAGATGTTGGGGCAAAAAAGTTTGACAGCCTCCAACATCGAGTCTCTTCTCAAGGCATTGAAGGCATTTTTAAAGTCCAGTTTCAGAAACCCCCATTGATCGGGGAGGTCGGTGACCAATCTTCGAACCGCATGAACAGCGGCCTCAGCGCCACCCTTAATCCCGACACCCAACTGAGTCGGGTAGAACTTGGTCTTGAGTTCGACCACGACCAGGGCCAAGGCACATTTGCCGGCCAACCTCCTCCAAACGTTCCCGACCGCAATCGGTCTGACCCCTCCGTCTTTCTTATTTAAAGCTATTAGCCGGCCTCCAAAAAAGAACCGGCGGACGGAGAGTGGGCAAGCTCCAGATAGGATCAAATTAATGAATTGGGTTAAGGAGTTCAGTGTGTCGTCAATTGGCAAGGGACCTGAAAAAACATCCTTAAGGTGCTGGGGTCGTAGGCCATCCAGGCCTCCAGAAGAACCGTTTTTGAAAGATTTAACGGCCCTCAGCACCTCGGCGGAAGAAACGCAACCAGCCGTTGGTGTCAATGCGGGAAAGACCCGCCTGTCCACCGGAATTTTTGGGTGGATAGAACATAATTTATCGAAGGTGGCCGGCGAGCTCTCCGCCAGGCCCTCCGGCGAGCAGATAAGTCTGACCGCCGAAGACAGGTTTCCCTGTTCAATACAAGATGACACAGCGTTGATCCATCGATCGGGGTTGTGCTTTTGTGATTTGCCATTATTGAACCCATCAAAGCACAGTACCAGGGTTTCAAGACCAATAGTTGAATATTCGCTTAGACGCTTGTTGACCAGGTTGCCCTGGTTGACCCGGCGACCTCCTCTGGAAGTCTTCTGTAAGACGTATGGGACAAAACAGTGGAGTCTAACCCAGTGAGCCGGGTCACCAGGGTCGTTACAAACAGCCGTCAGCAAGGCGTTCAGATCATGTGCGAACTTCTCCCTGCATGGCTTAGGGATATGGTCGTACACCGGTACACATTTCAGCACGGCCGTCAGCTTATCAAAAACACCAGAGTAATCCAGGCCGAGAGGATCACCGGAGACCGATGCGGCGGACGACCGTGTGGGCAGCCCAGGCCTGGGGTCGGGTGCGGCACCGAGAGGCGAAGCAGCCCTCGCGCCCGATGGATCAACTTTTTTCCGGGACCCCGAGCATTCCTGTCCTTTCACTTTACCTCCGTGCCGACATAACTTCCCGTCTGGAGTGCTTCTATAGTGGTTAAAGCAGACGGGGCACTGTTGTAACGTTGGAGCCATATGTGATTA